CATAGTGCATGAAACAAGTGGGTGGATAACGTCAAACATGCTTACTATAACTTATTGACAGAGCGACAACAGAAGTAGTCATACAGACATTCTTAGAAACCTGATTCGCAGTTGAAAGTATATCGTATGTTAAAAACATGTCATAAAGCAGACCATCTTCACAAGGAGCATTCGCAGGACTTAATGTTCCAGTTCGGCAATAAAGGGATTTCAAATTAATGGAAAACCGAGTTTAGTACGCATAAAATAAAAAATAAAAGTGGCATCTAAGTTTAAAACTTTTTTCATGTTGGTCCTAAGTTACCCGTTTACGGTATTTCAACATTGGGACAGACGGAGTTATAATAAAGGCCCATTAGTAAGATTCAGAATTAAGATGCCTTGTAACAAAATAAACTAATTGAAAATAAGACCCCCATACGCACAATAACCATGGTAGCGACATTGGTCGTCAAATAAAGAATGACAGGGGATACTGCTTGACCACAACCCACAATCAGATGTAGCACATGTGGGCGTCGCAGCCGGTGGTATTTTTTCAATGCGTTTGTCCGCAGATGACGCAGCTCCAAACACCGGTCAATCCGACGTGGGTACGGCTGCAGCTGCTGGATTGGGCTAAAGCTGCCCTGATCGATTAGTTCCCAATAAATAGTCGGTTACCCTGTCACACTGGCTAGCTTGACAAAAGCCACGAACTCGCGCGAGGACAAACGGTGCCTGTTTGTCAGAGTGGTAAGCACGCCCACTAATTGAAGATCTGACTCCGTAAAAATAGGCTTCCATCACAAATTAAACGAGCTCCTACGTTGCAAAAAAGTAGGGATAGGGAGGATCGAGCGGATAACCCGAAGGCACAAAAATGGAAAAATGTCGAAAAATGGGCGTCATCTAAGTGGACAAAACGATACAGGCATCAACAATGATTAAAACCACCAGGCGGAGACAGCATCAGACAAGGCGCAGTGATGCAGACAGGGGCGTCTCCGCGCTCGGTTTTTTGGATCTCGTCAATAACTTACGTACTATTCTGACTAATTCAACGCACCACGTTCCACCACCATGACGCTACGATTCATTGGAAATCCTGCGTTAAGAGCAGTGCAAAGTACATCCACCGTCATGGAATCATGGTTATTCATCTGAACTAAATTGAACCAACTGGACGGAATACTAGACGCGAACTAAACCGGAGGCTTCACATCACGATCGGTTATCGTTTGAGAAAATGTGTCCAAAACTATCGCTCGGTTTGGAGCACGAGTGCTGACTCTGACCCGGCGTTCGTATGCACCGACCTGCGGGCGCGGTTCGGCGGACGTCCGCAACGGCGCTGTGAGCGCATAGCTACTTGCCAACTGACGAAGCCAGATGTTCTCTATGCGTATCAAAGTACGCTGGCATCCGAGCTCAGTAAGCGCCTAATAACCACAGTTGAAGATCACTGGTCGCATATTCGCCAGATGTTATTAGCAGCAAGCATATCGTCATGTGGCAAATCAAACAGCAACCTAGACATTTGGTATCTACGCAGTCCCTGGAGGTTCTGGATGCTCGTGGACGTGTTCCGGCTGAGAGCGAACACAACAAGACTCGCAAAGATCTCAGTGCGAAACTGTGTGCTAGCCTGAAGAGAGGCTCGGAAGCCCAGTGGTCCCATCATGTCTCGGAAATGGAAACAGCCGCCGCCAATGGTACCCACCGTTAGTTATTCCGTCTGATACGCGACGAGAGTTGACAGCCGATCCACAGCTTGTCAACGCGCTTGGAACTTTGGGTCGAACACTTTGCGAAGCAGTTTAATTAGCCACAGTTACCAGCTTCTATATCGGCCATTGATCGCCATTCTCCCTTGGCAGTCCATTGAATCTGCTCTCAGGTGCATAAGTCGATTTTGAAATCAGACGGTTGAAATTGAATAAGACCGTCGCAACAGATGGACTTTATCCAGCCCTCTTCAAATTCGGGTGACCTGCTCTCATGGGTGGTTTGCATAACTGTGGAAACCGGAGACTATCCCAACAGACTAGAGCCGCTTCGTAATAGTCCCACTTTTCAAGGTAGTCTTCCGTTCGGAATGCGGCAACCATAGAGGAATCAGTCTGATCTTAATTGCCTCTAAGTTACTTACCTCTATCGCCCTCCATAGACCAATTGGCACCCATGAAGGCCAGATGTACGAGGATCAAGCCAGATTTCGTCCAAATTGTGGCTGCATTGACCACGTGTTCACATTACGCCAATTGTTGGAACACCGACATATTTATTGGCGACCTGTCGCAATCGTGTTCCTCTGTGTCAAAGGTGCCCTCAATTCGGTGGATCGATGTCGCCTTTGAGACTGCCCGCTCAAAAAAGTTGTGCTCGATAAAAATTATCAGAGCGCTGTACGCGCATAGTTCGAGCAGAGTGAAGGTTTATGACAAACTGTCGCTGTCCTTCAATAGCTCCAGCGGTGTGAGACAACTTCGCCTGCTGTCACGTTCCTTCTTTAACTTCGCCGCTGACGAAGTCATGGAAACAACGTTCGCTGGACACGACCTGCAACTTGTGAGCGACTTCTTGACTCGGAGTATGCCGAGGACATTTCCCTAATCTGTAACAGCTCCCAAATGTGCCAATCTCTACTGGGCAGATTAACACTGGCTGTCAGTTGTTTTGAGCTATGCATTGCATCCGTGAAATGCAAACTCCTCCTCCAAGAGTAACATTGACCCACCTCCGTCAACCGTTACTGACGATCAGCTAAAAGTCTTCCAGAAACTCAATTACCTCCGCAGCTATATTAAGGCCCGTGGGATCGAAGATGAGATCATGAACCGTATAGGAAAAGCCTGAAGCGCTTTTGCCAATCACCACCACCTGTGGAGCCGGCGTGACATTGCTCTCACTCTGAAGGACAGTGTTCACAATGCAGCCGCCCGTTCAACCCTCCTGTACGGTTGCGAAACCTGGCCCATCAGGTCGGCAGGCATAACGAGGCTAGCCATGTTCGATCGTCACTGCCTTTGCAGCTCAGCTCGTCTGGTGGGAACACCGCGTGAGCAAAGTGCGTGTTCAGCGTCGTGTTTTCCGTGCAAGAAGAGCGAGTGAATTGCTTAGCACTGTTATATCACGCACAAGGCTCCGATTGTTAGGCTACGTGTTGAGCATGTCAGCACACCGACGCTCGCGTCGTGCGTTTTCGCGCCGGGAGTGTGAAAAGGAGAGGAGGAGGGAAGGGCAATCTATGATCTGGTCAATAGGTATGAAGCCAATCACTTCGAATTTGGTGTCAGTTGGTGTCTCTCGACTCCAGGGCTGGGGTCCGAAGGATGATGGACATGTTTGGTTGGATACATTGGTTGACATAGCGAAGAGCCTGCTCCAATGGCGTTTGTGTTGTAAGTTTCTCTGTCTCTCCTCGCCGTCCAACCACGTTCTCACAGGTTATGATTAAAGTAACACTAAGCGTCATATTGCTTATTTGGTTTTATGGTATACGCCGTAATGTTTATAACTCGTTTTTTCTTATTCACTTATCTTTTCTCTTTTGTATCGCGGTTTATTGGCTGAAATGCGTTTGAAATTTTTACCTAGCGTGTATTGATGGTTTGTTAACCGAAGCCTGCGTGCTGACAAGGAAACCTCGTGAACTTGTAATGCCCCAGAAATGGAAGATGCAGAAGCGGTTGGCAGTTATCACAATCCTTTCCAGCTGTTCCGCACCACTGGTCCCAAAAACCAGGCCTTATTAAGACAACCAGGGATAACGTTGGAGCACTGATTTATCCTTTGGGGTGCCGCATGATTTCTTTTGCGCAGCAGTTTAGTGAGCAGTTCAGTTTGAACCTTGAACATAACGCTAAGCGTCATATTACTTATTTGGTTTTATGGTATACGCCGTAATGTTTGTATCTCATTTCTTCTTATTCATTTATCTTTTCTCTTTTGTATCGCGGTACAGTGGCTGAAATCAGTTTATAACCTTCATCTAACCTGTAATGATGATGGGCGTCAGAGTAATGTGCGAAACAGTCATCTCGGTTATCGGAATCCAGGTAATCTCGAGGACCTCGTGTCATTACAAAGATTTATTGTTAACTCGATATATGAAGGAACTAAACCGTGTGGTTATGACACAATGTTGAATTCGGTAAGAAAGTAAAGGACATATAAGGGCATCAAACCAACGTTAATATGCGAACGACAAAAAGCGTATGGATAACAAAAAAGTACTTTCATGCGTCTATCCATCACAACTAAAAATGATCGTCACGTGTGACAAAAACTTCAATGCATCCGTCAAATTTTACCGAACTTGATCGATGTGTAAAAGTACGGAAAAACACGATGGTATCACGGGACGTTCGAAATACAGTCAGTAAGGCGAAGTAGTGAGCTCACTGAAAACGTATCTGAAGGAGTGTGTTTTCATCGGTTGATTCGGATAAATATCGAGAAAGAAATCCACCATGTCCCAAATATCTGACACCGCTAGATTTTGAACTCGATGTATCAGGTAGCTAGGTGGTCTCTTTAACGAAACAGAACAGCGTGTAGTTGTGTGGCGTGAGCCGATCTGTAAAATAAACTATGATCCGAACTATATGAGCTGAGCCAAATGTAAACGCGGATCTCACTTGATGGAAAATATATCTATTATTATTAGTAATAAATAGAAAGAAGTGCAAGCAAATAAATAAAAGCGAAGATCGGAGAACGCATTTCTCGTATGTTTAGAAGTAACACTCAGCAGCGATCGTGGAACAACCGGTGAGCCTCCGACATCTGAAGCGCGGTTGAAACCTCAGAGGCTAACGAATTTGAAGACCACATCACAGATGTTATTGGCGCGTAACATAGGCGAAGTTGCACACAAATGCAGTTAACATGAAGCCTGAAATATGGATACAATCATTCCCAAAAGAAAGCTTTAAGCAAGAAAAGAAAAGTACCTGAGACATGTAGGTGTCAAACAAAGCCAAAATGGGGATCACGAAGAAAAACTCCCAACTCACCATGTTCGTAAACAGTGTCCGGACTCAGTGAACGCCCATAATATCGATCCAAATAGATAGGCGTGCATGACGCTGGGTGGTACACCTGACGATGAAAGAATGGTAGGCATTCAGGTGATTGGTACTTAAGATGAGGCAAATACTGACAAAATGAGTGTGAGGACCATGAAAAGTGTGGCGTTGGAATAATTTTTCGAACACATAAGTAGCCTTACATAAATGCGTCAAAATGACGACAGCTAGGGAAAGAATACAAGCGTGGTGTAAGTTAAAAATAGCAAAAGGCATAAGTTGAGCAGCTGAGAGCTTCGACCTTGTGGTTGTACAGTAAGTGGGGGCTGACCATGTCACAGAAATGATCACCATTGGGGAAGCGTAGTGATCCCTTTAGAAGGTTTCGATTTTCCATAAAATAACGAACAATTAAGTTATACTAAATAGTGCTATGCGAAATAGTAAGCCTATGACATCGCTGTGGTTAATTTCATTTTCAGACTCATTGGTAGATCTGAAGCAGCAGCAATGTGACTGATATCGTGTACTGATATCGTATGAAAACCGGTGCATGAAACTTGGGCTCTACACCTTGTCGTATCGCCGTGTTCGAGTGGATCTTATCATGACCTACCGTATTTTACATCTCGGTCATTTCCCCATGCTGAGGTCGTTACTCCACTTGCGAGTACCATGCACCACACGTAGGCACATGTACAAACTCGTGGTACCTGATCTGAAGAAAATCCCACACCCCCTGTGTTTCGAGCGGAGGGTTGTGTACGCCTGGAACAGTCTGCCAGAACACGTCGTCGAGGCCGAATCTGTGCAGAAATTCAAATCTTTGTTGGATTTACACTTCGCTAACATACGTTTCAAAGAACGGTTGCCACTTGACAACAATATCACCCACTTTTGACTCACTGTGTGAACAGGCATTTTGTGTGCTACAGAATGAGTTGCTGAACCATCTCAGGGTAACCACCGGACGTGTATATTTTTTTAAAATGCTTTTTGATTATCACCCGATGGAGTTGTACAGAATTATTTTCTACTTGCTCCAAAATACAGTATTCAGTATTCAGTATTCACGCTGTCAAATGTCGCAAGCCACATCAAAAACAGCTGTAACGAAGTGCTTTGTGTCAAGCCTCCTAATGGTTTCAAAGCTATGTTCAATGTAGCGCGGTTTTGTACCGCTGATTCGGATAGGGTTCTGATGACCAAGACAAGCGATGGACCCTGTAACTGAAGTGGTTGCATCCGACGGTGAGGGAACTTATCACCTTATCTTTGCACGATAGCCAGCTGTTTGTGACGGAATGTTGCCTAAACAAGGTGTAGGCGCCTTGACCCAGAATGTTTGCTTAGGGCATTAAGGTTTTCAGGTAAGTCCCCCTTCTCTCCCTCTTCTTATTCTTTATTTCATAGGTCCTCATGGTTGTATGGCAGCGAAGCATCAGTTCAAATGCCTGATGTATGATGATGAACTTATCACCACTCGCATCGTGTCCAACCCTAATTGGTATGTACAGCGACAATACGCGACCAGTCACTCAGAGAAAACTCGAGAACATCGGTGGAGCACAGCCATGTCGCAGTCATAATGATGAGTACATATCTATTTTGAAGAGATTATGCATGCATACATCCGATGAGAACGACACTCGATGGTAAAGTGCGGTTACGTCCAAAGGAAGATCAAGCGAATTAGAAGAGGGGGTGATTCATAAGAAGCAGGAACTGATATAGTTAACAGATGCATTAAGCTACAAAAGAGTGAAGTTCACAGGTACCTGCTTGACTGTGAGGCAAAGCAATATATGCGAGAAAATGAACAAACCAGACTGTCAGAAGAATTTCAGTGCTGTGATCCAAACCAAAAAGACAGTAAAAGAAACTTAAGAGCCCAAGGGTAATCAGCGCAAGCGGTCAAAGATGACCGTAATAGGTCTATGACTGTACGACACCGTCCGAAGACCCGGTCAAGCGCATCAATGTGATCAGCACAAGTTATAAACGCTTTGTTTCAGAAGCTATATTTTCGCGAAGACCGGTGAGCGTTTTGAAGGCCGGTGCGTCGATCGCGGACAAGTTCTGCAGCCCCGTCTAAAGACGGAGCAATCGTTTACAACCATGGGTCTGATGGCGCCCCTAAAATGCAGCACATTTGAGAAAAAACCATTAGGTTGTAATAACGAAGGGGATGTTGGGTCTAACCCAACGGTTATGCGTCAGTAACGATGGATCAAGTCGGATTTCTCCGAAGTTGAACAATGTTAGCCTCGTAAGTTGTTACCACAAATGTTCAGCTCAAATTTCATGTGAGCGATTCTGAGGATATATTAACTATTGGATGCTCTCACCTCTAGCTAACGTGTAGTGATGCATCTGCTGCTGATGTTCCAACCTATAGTTTTGCCTAAAGATACTTTGTGAGCAGATGATTGGCAATACTACAACTGCTCTACTGTTCGTGAAAACACTGGCTTCACTAACTTCCTGGGCTTCGCCATATAAAAACCACCGCCCAAAATCCGAAGCAGTTTCAGGATATCGCTTACACCATGAAACTGATTACTCGGTGGTATCACGCTGTAAATAAGTTAAAAGACTATGCATAGATCCATACACTATTCAGACGGAGCAGCTCAGCTGGTATCGGCAAACAGTGCTTTATTCACAGGACGCTGACAGCATCGCCATCTGACGTTTCGTCCCTTCAGTTCGTTCGCTAATACTAGCTGACTCACTAACTAAGACTGAGAGTGCTGTTTCACAAACTGACTTTAGGTGGCAAAAGCCCACAAAATTAAAAACATTCATCAGGACAGGAAAACAAAAACAGTATATCAGGAACTAAAACGGACGGCTTGCAGCTGTACAACGACAAGAAGATAGGGAAGTGAGGAATAAAAGAATTGGAAGAATAGGGACCTAATGCGGTACCTTACCTAAAGCAAATAGTAAAGGCGCCAACGTTTTCCCAAAAACATGCGACCAACAACACTAGCTATCGTGAGAAGGCAGCATTGAGAGTACAGGTCGCCTGTGGGTTCCACTGCCCCGCGTCATAATTAGTCATTACTCCGAGGACAATTTACTTTCAGATACAAGTTAAACAGGTAATCGAACTAAGAGAGGACGACATACGCGCTACTGGTGCCAACTGCAAGCCATGTCTTGTAGAGCCTCGAGTTAAAAAAGGTGAATCACGAGGACACCAATTTGGAAAACGAGACTGACTAAAAACACCCAGCGTAGTTGTCATTGACTGCATTTCCCAGTGCCAAGTCAAATTTATCCACCTCAAGTATTACACCACCCAACATCCGGCAAACAAAACAAGGTTTCCTTAGAAAACAGTCACCGGGCATAAGATATGAAAATGCCAACGCGACTTAATCAAGCTTAATCAAGTTCTGATTGGTCCTGGGAGCAGAACAATTTGATTCCAGACGTTCCGGTATAAATCGAGATGGTATCTTCAGTGCGTAATGGCGAGTAGCTTATTAGCAGATACGGTCGAACCCGCTTTATTGCTATCCATCGGGATATTTCGAAAGTGGGCAAAAAGCGGGGTGCGCAATTAATCGACATTACCATTTTTTCCAAAAGGGAGACAACCATTGAGTTATTGTACAGTATATCACTTGCACTGCAACGGAGGATAAAATAAGTACTTAACCGAAATCATACAAAAGACATTTACTCAGAAGAGCATAGTATTTAATTTAAAAATTATACAATAAAGCATCTTATCTGGATAGCTATAGAAGCTGGCGCTAATGTGTAGTTTTGCAGAGAAAACAATCCAGCGTCAGCTAGACACTATTTTGCGCCGCTACTCAAGTCATGTTTGAATTGATGAAGTCTAATTTGGACAAGAAATCTTTGCCTAGCCAGTGCAAAAGTGAGCAGCTATACAGACCATTCAGTTCTTTGCTTTAAAATGCGACAAGCGCGAATTGCTGTTACTCACGGAGGCATCCTGCAGGTTATCCTCTGAGTTGCTGCCTTCCTTCTGTTCTAGTTGGTTCTCCACAATTTTATTGACGATTTCATCTTCAACAGCTGTCAGATCTGAGGTACATTCCACATCGTTGTCAATGGGGACGAACACTTCTGCATTGACGACTGTAATTGTGCAAGCGATGACGGCGTCATCAGAAAGTGCACTGGATGCCGGTCGACTGAAGCCAGCATGCGGAAAGCAAGCTTTTATTGTTGTACCGGTAACCTGTCTCCAACTTTATGAAACAAACTGAATTGCATCGGGCACAGAAATCTTGACGCTGACATGCACCGCCGACGATCAGCCAGATAACATGTTGTTTTCAAGGTGGTAAGGAATTCGGTTCACAATTTCTGTTACGGATTTTCAGACTCATAATCGCATCTTCAAACATGGGTTGGAGAATGCTGGTCGTGTTGGCCGGAAAAAAAGTTGGTTTGAAGGCTTTTCAGACCTACCTATGAGTGAGCTGTGCAGTTATTCAAAAGCAACAAAATTGCTCGACCGCTTTGGCCTTGCTCCTTGTCCCATTTGAGGACTCGCGCGATGAAAAGGTCTTTCGTCATACACACATTTCTGTTAGCTCTGCAACATACGGGAAGTGTGCCCACGTTTACGTCATTACACTTCATGGTTTCTTACTTTTTCCAATTGAAACCAGTTTTCCGTGTCTGACATACGCACGGCACAGGAGAGTGATCATATCCAGGGTATTTTTCGATCCACTGAGCTTGTCGGCGGAAAAACACAAAGAACCCTCTGGAATTGTTCGACAAAATAAGCCTGTTTCCTAGACATTGGACGCGTTGTCATCATCAAATACGTTAAAAAGCTCAGGCAATCAATATTTCAGTCAATTATCACACTGATCTATCCGCGGAACTCTTTTCGCCAATGCGCATGTTTATACACAAGTTGTTTTCTATTCTTCCATCATTGCAGCCATCCTACTGTGGCAACAAAGGTTTTTCCAAGTTTTTCAACGAAGTCTTCTGCCTTTTTCTTCAGAAGCGGGCTTATAACCGTTTGGCTGTGTTCATGAACACTTATCGTCCAGTCATTCGATGCAGTTTCAA